GGCTTTGGCTAACCAAAGGCTCCGGTTGTGGATTCCTGCCTTGACCTGAGCAACCTGGCAGTATTCAGCTCACATGCAAATCGTGGAACGTTCTTTCTTTTTCATAACGATTATTGTACCGTGATTTGTTTGCCACACAGTCATGCGCGGGTTCCAGTCTCACCGAGGCAAAGGAAATGTTCATCAATAAATCTCTTTCAGGTCAAGGAACCTTGCGATCGTTGGTCGACAGTGGGTGTCACGTAGTTCAAGGAGCTGACGCAACGAAAAAATTGGTCAACAGACCAACAACCAGGCCGGAATCCAGCTTGAAATTCACGGGTGTTGGTCTCTCATCAAGGAACCAGACGTCGAAGTATGACGGAGGTAAGCGCTTTGGTGACGAGTGGGATGAAACTTATCCCGCAGTGGTTTTCGCAATCGTTGCGAGATCCTTTCTTGAAAATGGGAACGATTAGTGATTCGCCCAAAGATGAAGGAATGCGCCCTTGCGTCCCAATGTGGTGCAGTAAGGTATTACTACAGCTTACTATGTTATCACCCCGAATCCTGAAAAGTTAAAAGAAGCTCACCCGGTCCTGTTGCCTTTCCTCGCTTCAGAGCTTGAATGCAAGATCGAACTTCTGCTTCTGCCGGAGGATCGTACGTCACCGTCTTGTCATCGATAAACTAAACATATATGTTTGTGTTAACATGTGGAAAACAGCGAAACTCGACGCGTTTGATTTGACTTCCGTGTTGTCGGTTTTTGGCGAACATGTGTTTGTAAAGCGGTTGATACATCATAGCAAGGAGATAATGCTTATGAAATCACCGCCGGTGTACGTGGTACTGGTAGAGGTTAGGCTAGCGCGATGCGGTGTAGAAGAAATTTTCGAACATATGTGAGATAAGAGAAGCAAAAGCGTATCACTGCATGCGGATTAAATGGGTCAGCCTTTAAACAGACCTTAGATTCCTTATAGAGGTTGTATTCGACCGCGGAGCACTTTGACCACAAATCCGTCTCTTGGTCTGGAAATCGGGCTTTTAGTGCATCGAACAGTAATTGCAATGTCTGATCCCGTGTTTTCCCCGTAATCCCGGTTACCGTACGACAATCTGGATACAAAAGATGTGTGTTTTTCGGGGCAGCACACCATGCGGACTGCAATCGGAAGAACAAAACAAAATCAGGATATATGCAGAGCGGGAATGTGGTAAAAGCAATGTAACGTCCTTCCCGCCCAAGCTAAAGTGCAACCGTTATAACAAAAGTTACTGAAGAAAAAATGATGCCAATAGTTTCGATTTCAACAATGATCAGTCCTAAATCAATCTGGTTCAAATTCCGCGGTTCTGGCAGATAATACCATCAACCAACATAGAGAAGATTGGGGAGCAATTGGTACAGAATGCGTGCCATGAAAAAGTAGATTCATGAAGAGAGAGAGAGAACAGATGCATCAGCACCATTGCTTATGGTTTAGATTACCTATAGTTCGTGAATACGAGCAACAGTGGTCGCCAGTATCATCGGCATGACCCGAACCGTTGAACAAACAAAACCTAATTTGATCCATTGGTTCTGTTTCTTTCACTGATAGGATAAAAAGTGGGAGGAAAACGAAACCATCGTGTTACTGCAGATTATATTTAATTAATGAAACCTATAACTATGATCGTGGAGAACAGCCAGCGACCAGTTTGTATATTAGATTACAATACCGTCGCAAGGCTCACTTGTATTGTCCCTGGAATAGTAAAAACTTGCTTTTCAAGTTGCATCTAAACACCCCAGTATGGGGAGAGGGTGGTGGATATCTCGGGTTGTGACTGATCACCCTTCCCTGGCACCTCGCGAAATGCTCCCATAAAACCAAATGTTTTAAATAACCTCTGCTCAGGAATCCGTATTCGCCGCCTTCTCGTGGTGCACATGTTTTACCACCAAAGTGACAGAACGAAAACCTAATATCCAGGGCTACAATCAGGTTAGTGAACCACTAGTAGTTCACCAAGGGGAATTGGCCATAAAACCCTGATTCCAAAACAACGAAGGAGAGACGTACGAACCACACTCACTCACAAATTGGTTGTGGCAGTGGTCACTGGCTTGATTGAGCAACATGGACGTTTGACCCGGTCCAAAGGGCGTATGCTCTGATGCACTGGACACCGGCCCCCAACGAATCGCCGTTTTCACACGCCACCCCGCTGCTTTGTACGTCAGGCTTTGGCTAGCCAAAGGCTCCGGTTGTGAATTCCTCAAGAGAATTCATCTGTCTTGGCCTGGGCAACCTGGCAGCATTCGGCCCACATGCAAACCATGGAACTTTTTCTTTTTTTATAAAGATTACTGTACTATGATTTGTTTGGCACACAGTCCGAACTTAGGCGTGTGTGAAATACAGATAGGCTTTCCAGGTTCAGACGGTTGGTATCGAACCGTTGTGATTACCAGTGTCGGAAATCGGAAGCGCAAGGACTCTCAGTGACAAAAGTATGTGGAATAAAAGTAAAGAATCGTCCACTCTTTAAATCAAGAAGCATCCGTTCGTGGCAAGTTCGACTTTCAATGCTCAAGTTGGCATTGAATAGAAAGCCCTGAGAGAACTTTGATGTCACCATAACAATCCGAAAGTGACAAGCCCATATGAAAACATACAAAATGATACAACTATGCATATTCACTTTGAGTGAAATTTGTTCTGCGTTGCCACGTCTCCTCCGAAATTCCTCTTCAATTAGCTGCTTTCGAGCTGCTCGTTCTTCCCCTTCCAATTGGTCTTCGCTGACTGCTTCCGAGTCATCATCCCAGTAACCCTCTGCGCTTTCTACATTCCCGATTCGCGTCTCTGTGGTAAACAAAAAGAAATGGGAGAGATTATATCATTAATTACACTGACACGAAGAACATAGAGCGAACGTTCAAAGATGGGGTATCTAACAGAAAGGTATAAACTAAACGCGGATTAGACCGAAGATGGAGAACTTACGTAAAGCAATGGCTCTAAAAGCTGATACATTTTCGGCAACCCGATTTTTATCCACACAGACGTCACATTGCCTGTTGCAATTCGGCGGTTTATCCATAAAATAGTCCGCAAGAAGACGGTGACGACATCTGCGCGGTAGAAAACTGAGAAGGTCATCATAGGGAAATACAGATATACCAAACGAAAAAACCGACAAAACCTTGTTGAAATCCCAATAGAACTCTAGAGTAAACATTGTGGGTTCAGTAAAGGAAAGGGAAAAGCAGGGACTAATTCATAAGATGAAAGCACCAGACAAAAGTAAAGGTTAGTTGGTTGAGGCTAAACATTATCCTATCGGAATTTCCAGTCAATAAAGAGGAAAACAAACGAATCATGCGAAGCGATGTAACTTGGAGCCAGCTACTGAAGGCCAGCAAAAATCAACCGCTAGCGAAACTGTACGCTACCCAGCGCGTTTACAGGTAGCAGATAGAAAAACAAACATTGAAGTGGCAAATCGTGAATAGCCGGACATTGCGAGACTGAATTAGCGGTTACCTACGATCAGCATTGATGTCCGTGGATGTGGTGAGTTTTCGCCCGGTAATGATCGCAGTGCAACAAAAAGCGATACATTCTGAGCTCTCCCAGAAATTGGAGTATCATGACTAGTTGGAGAACATGAGCCGATGATAATATACTCATATCGCTTGCCGGAATGTCAGGACCAGAAAATCTGTTGAGAATCGGTCAGTCGCAATGTACAAATTACAGAGTTGTTTTGTTGACATTGTCAGCACATCGGAATTACGACTAGCCAACTTGGGATCAAAAGGAATTCAACTGCTCCAAACCAATGAGACTCGGCTTTATCACAGAAAACCCCAAAACGGTTCCGGGTTATATGATGTTGGTTTGCGCTAAGTTAACGGGTAATGAACTCTCCATTTGCATGGAAACCCATACCTCTGAGAATCGTTACTAAGCGTATCAAAGCATCGCTCCTCATCTTAGATAACTCTGACTATGTAACAAACTTGATGGCAGGAGAGTGTCAGTGGCGAGCTTTACAACGAGTATTAAGATGTATGATATTGTATTCATTGCCGGCGATTAGAATATACACCGTGGTCCTCTAACTATGGTATAACAGGACACCAGATAAACCGCACTCCAATACGATCCCGCTGGGCGCAATCCGTTGAGGGTTTCGAGCATACTGCAACGCTGAGATTAGCAAAGCCAACGGAACGGATCACACACTCGTGCATGTTCACCACAAGCTTCATCTAGCAATAGGCCATAAGGCTTGCCCCCGGAAAAGACCTATAAGGCCAACAAGAACCTCCTAGAAAAAGCAGACATTCTAAAGCGCAGCTACGACGTATATGACTACAAACTATCCGGTGTACGAGTATTCACGTGCACAATACCCTTAACACATCCATAACAAAAGCTGTAATAACGAGAACTGGGTATTGAATCCGTTTCAGACAATAAGGAATCTAACAAAGCTACTGCCGAATTCGGAAAGTTAAACCGATTTACCATGGTTGCCTCAGGTATAAGAACATCTGGATTTCTACTACGTAACGCAGGACTTCAAATCATCAATGAAACGATGCAGAACTTTGAAAGATGGATCTAACATTTTGCATAGACCACAAAGATTAAATAAGCTCAGGCTCCGTGGACGCCGTACCTAATCTATTGCAACGCACTCGGTAGAAACATTACCGCCATGGGAGCACTGAAAAACGGGTCAGTGGAAAAGGATGGTATAACTTCATCTTATTAGTCGATGATTATTGACCAGATGCATTCGTAGTTTGTTATCATCTGGGAAACCCAGACTTTCCTAAAAGACTAGTCCAGTTCCATTCTGTAATCGTCTAGGAAAAAGACGGCAGAACATTTTTTTTATTTATTACACACGAAGTGATTTACAGCAAAAGGGGTAAACCCCATAATCGACGATATACTGTAAGAGGGACGTATGTGGGAGAACATTCAAGTAAGAATCAATTTGTTAATCCTGCTTTTGAAAAGGGTAAGGTTATAAGAGCTGGGAAACACGGAAATAGGGAGAATGTTCCACAATTTCGCAGTCCTAGGGAAAGAAAGAAGATTGAAAGATAGAAGTCC